TCACTTCCTATAAATTTTATCAGCAGTTTTTGTACACCCACCCACCTCCAAGAATCATGGAGGATGGCCTGATATTAGTTTCTTTGTTGCATTTATTCACATTTAAAAGTGTTAAGACCCATAAAAATGTTTAAGATTTATATTTTTAAATTTAAATGTTGAATTTTTATGTAAATTTGGTGAAACAAAAAGCTGTAATCTTGAATTAATCATCAAACACCTTTGAAATTCCTGAGTAATTCAATGAAAAGAGGATAATTATGCATGTTCAATTGGAATTTCATGGCTAATTTGTGTCTGCAGAGAAAGCCAGTTACATAAATCACAACAATAAATTACATCTGAATTGTTTTCTCCATTTTCTTATCATCAAAGCAAGTTTAATGGAGTGTCAGAGCTGTTCAGAACCTCCCCAGATGCTGATATCATTTGGACTGCCCTGTGTTACAACACAGCTTTTAGATAAACTTCTGCATAGCAGGTTGTAGACAAGTACCTAGGCTTTATTTGGAACATAAATTGACCAGATGCAGATTTTATTATCAGCCTAATATTTAACAATTTCTGTAAATTCTGTCATTCTTAGGAGGGTAAAATGCAATTTTGTTATGTAATAATTGCATAATGGTCTCAGACTTGTGAATTATTTTTTGTTTGTTGTGAAGAACAGTGCATATACTCTCCACGGATACAAAATTGGTTGCCAGGCTTAGTCTATTAAGGATGAAATTCTGCTTCAAAATATGCACAAAAAACTTCTGTCAGAGTGCTCAGTGTGTATTCTTGACTGCTCTGGAGTAAGGGAGATAAATGCATCATATCTCCAGCAATAATGGGAATTAGATCCCCAGGCTTCAGGATGTTAGTGACAGTTATTTAAGAAATCTCAGGTGCAAAAATGAAAAAAATCTGACAACTTCAAAGGTCCTTCAAGGTATCACACCGGTAATTGACCAATCAAAATGAACTTAGTCAATTGTAGTTCCATACATAATAAAGAAATATTTTTTTAATTGTGAGAAATTTTTTAATTTCCCTTATTCTATTTTTACATTTTTGGTATCTGTGCTTAGGATATTTTATGTACTTTGTAAAATATTAAAGGTTTTTGACAGGAACTATTTCTTTCGGGGCATAGGAGGCCACTTCCTGGGGTGCACACAGGATGTTTATAAACACATTGAATACACGTGGTTTTGAGGGTATTCCTGTTTGCGGATGGAAAAAAATCAGAAAATGCCGTGTAGGTACCCTATTTTTTGGTGTCAGCTGATGTGACTGGTAACGTTTAACACTTCCTGCTAAATATTTTTTCATGAATTCGAATACCTGATTTTTAATGATTTTTTATTCTATATAGAATTACATAGTGAAAACAATTACCGGTGTGATACCTTGAAGGTGATTGTGTAAAATCATCTACACCCATATGAAAGGCAGTTTTAAGTTTATAAAGGCATATTTCAACAAAATATGTCATTTTATGAACTTTCTGTGTGAAAGCACATATTTTTAAATTTAGAAGCAGGGTTGACATTAATTTATACAGATTTCTATGTAAAATACTAATAATATGTCATGTTTTACCCTCAAAACTCCAAATTATGACTTTCAAAGTAGGATTATGCAATTCTGACATGTAGAAAGAAGTTAGAAAATGTTGGTTTTTTATTTTAGATGACTTTAAACTCTGTGCACCACCTGACCGCAGTCAATTATAGTGTCTACAGACTTTGTCGTAAAAGCACTTTAGGCTGATTTTTTCAAGAAAAGACTATTTCTGGGTTTGCGAATGAGTTTTCAACAAAAGCGACAACTGCGATAAAATGTGAAGAAGTAAAACATGTTTTTAAAAAGTGTTAAATTTTACAGAGACTGGGTTTACTTTCATTTTATTCACCTTAAGTGATTCATTTATTACTGGAGTGGAGGAATAGAAATAATGAAATGAGTTAAATTTGTCTTATGAAAGTAATGTACAAATAAAATTTATTAAGAATTTTTCAAAAATAAGAAGCTTATGACCAAAATTGCATAAATACTGTCAGGGCATGAGAGTGAATACTTATTCTGAGTCCCAACCATGCATCACACATATAGTACAGAATGGCACTTAGCACCATGGTATGCCTGATATGGTTCTCTAGACTTTTTCCATGCTTTCGCAGCTGACATTCAAGATTTTTCAGTTTGCCGGAGAATGTTTTTTGTCATTTTACCACTTTTATGTAGGTGTTGACCCTCTCTTTTAAATTAAGTCTCAGACAGGATGTTTATTTTAGCATGATTTGTTAAGCACATTAATGTACTGAAATATTAATAAATTACAAATTAAAGTGATGAAGAAATTTGACATATTTACACAATCAAAATATCAGAATAACCATAATTCAGCTAATAAAGTGCCCTGTTCTTCTTTTGTCACTTCCTATAAATTTTATCAGCAGTTTTTGTACACCCACCCACCTCCAAGAATCATGGAGGATGGCCTGATATTAGTTTCTTTGTTGCATTTATTCACTTTAAAAGTGTTAAGACCCATAAAAATGTTTAAGATTTATATTTTTAAATTTAAATGTTGAATTTTTATGTAAATTTGGTGAAACAAAAAGCTGTAATCTTGAATTAATCATCAAACACCTTTGAAATTCCTGAGTAATTCAATGAAAAGAGGATAATTATGCATGTTCAATTGGAATTTCATGGCTAATTTGTGTCTGCAGAGAAAGCCAGTTACATAAATCACAACAATAAATTACATCTGAATTGTTTTCTCCATTTTCTTATCATCAAAGCAAGTTTAATGGAGTGTCAGAGCTGTTCAGAACCTCCCCAGATGCTGATATCATTTGGACTGCCCTGTGTTACAACACAGCTTTTAGATAAACTTCTGCATAGCAGGTTGTAGACAAGTACCTAGGCTTTATTTGGAACATAAATTGACCAGATGCAGATTTTATTATCAGCCTAATATTTAACAATTTCTGTAAATTCTGTCATTCTTAGGAGGGTAAAATGCAATTTTGTTATGTAATAATTGCATAATGGTCTCAGACTTGTGAATTATTTTTTGTTTGTTGTGAAGAACAGTGCATATACTCTCCACGGATACAAAATTGGTTGCCAGGCTTAGTCTATTAAGGATGAAATTCTGCTTCAAAATATGCACAAAAAACTTCTGTCAGAGTGCTCAGTGTGTATTCTTGACTGCTCTGGAGTAAGGGAGATAAATGCATCATATCTCCAGCAATAATGGGAATTAGATCCCCAGGCTTCAGGATGTTAGTGACAGTTATTTAAGAAATCTCAGGTGCAAAAATGAAAAAAATCTGACAACTTCAAAGGTCCTTCAAGGTATCACACCGGTAATTGACCAATCAAAATGAACTTAGTCAATTGTAGTTCCATACATAATAAAGAAATATTTTTTTAATTGTGAGAAATTTTTTAATTTCCCTTATTCTATTTTTACATTTTTGGTATCTGTGCTTAGGATATTTTATGTACTTTGTAAAATATTAAAGGTTTTTGACAGGAACTATTTCTTTCGGGGCATAGGAGGCCACTTCCTGGGGTGCACACAGGATGTTTATAAACACATTGAATACACGTGGTTTTGAGGGTATTCCTGTTTGCGGATGGAAAAAAATCAGAAAATGCCGTGTAGGTACCCTATTTTTTGGTGTCAGCTGATGTGACTGGTAACGTTTAACACTTCCTGCTAAATATTTTTTCATGAATTCGAATACCTGATTTTTAATGATTTTTTATTCTATATAGAATTACATAGTGAAAACAATTACCGGTGTGATACCTTGAAGGTGATTGTGTAAAATCATCTACACCCATATGAAAGGCAGTTTTAAGTTTATAAAGGCATATTTCAACAAAATATGTCATTTTATGAACTTTCTGTGTGAAAGCACATATTTTTAAATTTAGAAGCAGGGTTGACATTAATTTATACAGATTTCTATGTAAAATACTAATAATATGTCATGTTTTACCCTCAAAACTCCAAATTATGACTTTCAAAGTAGGATTATGCAATTCTGACATGTAGAAAGAAGTTAGAAAATGTTGGTTTTTTATTTTAGATGACTTTAAACTCTGTGCACCACCTGACCGCAGTCAATTATAGTGTCTACAGACTTTGTCGTAAAAGCACTTTAGGCTGATTTTTTCAAGAAAAGACTATTTCTGGGTTTGCGAATGAGTTTTCAACAAAAGCGACAACTGCGATAAAATGTGAAGAAGTAAAACATGTTTTTAAAAAGTGTTAAATTTTACAGAGACTGGGTTTACTTTCATTTTATTCACCTTAAGTGATTCATTTATTACTGGAGTGGAGGAATAGAAATAATGAAATGAGTTAAATTTGTCTTATGAAAGTAATGTACAAATAAAATTTATTAAGAATTTTTCAAAAATAAGAAGCTTATGACCAAAATTGCATAAATACTGTCAGGGCATGAGAGTGAATACTTATTCTGAGTCCCAACCATGCATCACACATATAGTACAGAATGGCACTTAGCACCATGGTATGCCTGATATGGTTCTCTAGACTTTTTCCATGCTTTCGCAGCTGACATTCAAGATTTTTCAGTTTGCCGGAGAATGTTTTTTGTCATTTTACCACTTTTATGTAGGTGTTGACCCTCTCTTTTAAATTAAGTCTCAGACAGGATGTTTATTTTAGCATGATTTGTTAAGCACATTAATGTACTGAAATATTAATAAATTACAAATTAAAGTGATGAAGAAATTTGACATATTTACACAATCAAAATATCAGAATAACCATAATTCAGCTAATAAAGTGCCCTGTTCTTCTTTTGTCACTTCCTATAAATTTTATCAGCAGTTTTTGTACACCCACCCACCTCCAAGAATCATGGAGGATGGCCTGATATTAGTTTCTTTGTTGCATTTATTCACATTTAAAAGTGTTAAGACCCATAAAAATGTTTAAGATTTATATTTTTAAATTTAAATGTTGAATTTTTATGTAAATTTGGTGAAACAAAAAGCTGTAATCTTGAATTAATCATCAAACACCTTTGAAATTCCTGAGTAATTCAATGAAAAGAGGATAATTATGCATGTTCAATTGGAATTTCATGGCTAATTTGTGTCTGCAGAGAAAGCCAGTTACATAAATCACAACAATAAATTACATCTGAATTGTTTTCTCCATTTTCTTATCATCAAAGCAAGTTTAATGGAGTGTCAGAGCTGTTCAGAACCTCCCCAGATGCTGATATCATTTGGACTGCCCTGTGTTACAACACAGCTTTTAGATAAACTTCTGCATAGCAGGTTGTAGACAAGTACCTAGGCTTTATTTGGAACATAAATTGACCAGATGCAGATTTTATTATCAGCCTAATATTTAACAATTTCTGTAAATTCTGTCATTCTTAGGAGGGTAAAATGCAATTTTGTTATGTAATAATTGCATAATGGTCTCAGACTTGTGAATTATTTTTTGTTTGTTGTGAAGAACAGTGCATATACTCTCCACGGATACAAAATTGGTTGCCAGGCTTAGTCTATTAAGGATGAAATTCTGCTTCAAAATATGCCAAAAAACTTCTGTCAGAGTGCTCAGTGTGTATTCTTGACTGCTCTGGAGTAAGGGAGATAAATGCATCATATCTCCAGCAATAATGGGAATTAGATCCCCAGGCTTCAGGATGTTAGTGACAGTTATTTAAGAAATCTCAGGTGCAAAAATGAAAAAAAATCTGACAACTTCAAAGGTCCTTCAAGGTATCACACCGGTAATTGACCAATCAAAATGAACTTAGTCAATTGTAGTTCCATACATAATAAAGAAATATTTTTTTAATTGTGAGAAATTTTTTAATTTCCCTTATTCTATTTTTACATTTTTGGTATCTGTGCTTAGGATATTTTATGTACTTTGTAAAATATTAAAGGTTTTTGACAGGAACTATTTCTTTCGGGGCATAGGAGGCCACTTCCTGGGGTGCACACAGGATGTTTATAAACACATTGAATACACGTGGTTTTGAGGGTATTCCTGTTTGCGGATGGAAAAAAATCAGAAAATGCCGTGTAGGTACCCTATTTTTTGGTGTCAGCTGATGTGACTGGTAACGTTTAACACTTCCTGCTAAATATTTTTTCATGAATTCGAATACCTGATTTTTAATGATTTTTTATTCTATATAGAATTACATAGTGAAAACAATTACCGGTGTGATACCTTGAAGGTGATTGTGTAAAATCATCTACACCCATATGAAAGGCAGTTTTAAGTTTATAAAGGCATATTTCAACAAAATATGTCATTTTATGAACTTTCTGTGTGAAAGCACATATTTTTAAATTTAGAAGCAGGGTTGACATTAATTTATACAGATTTCTATGTAAAATACTAATAATATGTCATGTTTTACCCTCAAAACTCCAAATTATGACTTTCAAAGTAGGATTATGCATCTGACATGTAGAAAGAAGTTAGAAAATGTTGTTTTTTTATTTTAGATGACTTTAAACTCTGTGCACCACCTGACCGCAGTCAATTATAGTGTCTACAGACTTTGCCGTAAAAGCACTTTAGGCTGATTTTTTCAAGAAAAGACTAATTCTGGGTTTGCAAATGAGTTTTCAACAAAAGCGACAACTGCGATAAAATGTGAAGAAGTAAAACATGTTTTTAAAAAGTGTTAAATTTTACAGAGACTGGGTTTACTTTCATTTTATTCACCTTAAGTGATTCATTTATTACTGGAGTGGAGGAATAGAAATAATGAAATGAGTTAAATTTGTCTAATATTTGTAATGTACAAACAAAATTTATGAAGAATTTGTCAAAAATAAGAAGCTTATGACCAAAAATGCATAAATACTGTCAGGGCATGAGAGTGAATACTTATTCAGAGTCCCCAACCATGCATCACACATATAGTACAGAATGTCACTTAGCACCATGGTATGCCTGTTATGGTTCTCTAGACTTTTTCCATGCTTTCGCAGCTGACATTCAAGATTTTTCAGTTTACCGGAGAATGTTTTTTGTCATTTTACCACTTTTATGTAGGTGTTGACCCTCTCTTTTAAATTAAGTCTCGGTCAGGATGTTTATTTTAGCATGATTTGTTAAGCACAGTAATGTACTGAAATATTAATAAATTACAAATTAAAGTGATGAAGAAATTTGACATATTTACACAATCAAAATATCAGAATAACCATAATTCAGCTAATAAAGTGCCCTGTTCTTCTTTTGTCACTTCCTATACATTTTTTCAGCAGTTTTTGTACACCCACCCACCTCCAAGAATCATGGAGGATGGCCTGATATTAGTTTCTTTGTTGCATTTATTCACATTTAAAAGTGTTAAGACCCATAAAAATGTTTAAGATTTATATTTTTAAATTTAAATGTTGAATTTTTTATGTAAATTTGGTGAAACAAAAAGCTGTAATCTTGAATTAATCATGCAAATTCATCAAACACCTTTGAAATTCCTGAGTAATTCAATGAAAAGAGGATAATTATGTATGTTCAATTGGAATTTCATGGCTATGTGTCTGCAGAGAAAGCCAGTTACATAAATCACAACAATAAATTACATCTGAATTGTTTTCTCCATTTTCTTATCATCAAAGCAAGTTTAATGGAGTGTCAGAGCTGTCCAGAACCTCCCCAGATGCTGATATCATTTGGACTGCCCTGTGTTACAACACAGCTTTTAGATAAACTTCTGCATAGCAGGTTGTAGACAAGTACCTAGGCTTTATTTGGAACATAAATTGACCAGATGCAGATTTTATTATCAGCCTAATATTTAACAATTTCTGTAAATTCTGTCATTCTTAGGAGGGGTAAAATGCAATTTTGTTATGTAATAATTGCATAATGGTCTCAGACTTGTGAATTATTTTTTGTTTGTTGTGAAGAACAGTGCATATACTCTCCACGGATACAAAATTGGTTGCCAGGCTTAGTCTATTAAGGATGAAATTCTGCTTCAAAATATGCACAAAAAACTTCTGTCAGAGTGCTCAGTGTGTATTCTTGACTGCTCTGGAGTAAGGGAGATAAATGCATCATATCTCCAGCAATAATGGGAATTAGATCCCCAGACTTCAGGATGTTAATGACAGTTATTTAAGAAATCTCAGGTGCAAAAATGAAAAGAATCTGACAACTTCAAAGGTCCTTCAAGGTATCACACCGGTAATTGACCAATCAAAATGAACTTAGTCAATTGTAGTTCCATACATAATAAAGAAATATTTTTTTTATTGTGAGAAATTTTTTAATTTCCCTTATTCTATTTTTACCTTTTTGGTATCCGTGCTTAGGATATTTTATGTACTTTGTAAAATATTAAAGGTTTTTGACAGGAACTATTTCTTTCGGGGCATAGGAGGCCACTTCCTGGGGTGCACACAGGATGTTTATAAACACATTGAATACACGTGGTTTTGAGGGTATTCCTGTTTGCGGATGGAAAAAATCAGAAAATGCCGTGTAGGTACCCTATTTTTTGGTGTCAGCTGATGTGACTGGTAACGTTTAACACTTCCTGCTAAATATCTTTTCATGAATTCGAATACCTGATTTTTAATGATTTTTTATTCTATATAGAATTACATAGTGAAAACAATTACCGGTGTGATACCTTGAAGGTGATTGTGTAAAATCATCTACACCCATATTAAAGGCAGTTTTAATTTTATAAAGGCATATTTCAACAAAATATGTCATTTTATGAACTTTCTGTGTGAAAGCACATATTTTTAAATTTAGAAGCAGGGTTGACATCAATTTATACAGATTTCTATGTAGAATACTAATAATATGTCATGTTTTACCCTCAAAACTCCAAATTATGACTTTCAAAGTAGGATTATGCATCTGACATGTAGAAAGAAGTTAGAAAATGTTGGTTTTTTTATTTTAGATGACTTTAAACTCTGTGCACCACCTGACCGCAGTCAATTATAGTGTCTACAGACTTTGCCGTTAAAAGCACTTTAGGCTGATTTTTTCAAGAAAAGACTAATTCTGGGTTTGCGAATGAGTTTTCAACAAAAGCCACAACTGCGATAAAATGTGAAGAAGTAAAACATGTTTTTAAAAAGTGTTAAATTTTACAGAGACTGGGTTTACTTTCATTTTATTCACCTTAAGTGATTCATTTATTGCTGGAGTGGAGGAATAGAAAATAATGAAATGAGTTAAATTTGTCTAATAAAAGTAATGCACAAATAAAATTTATTAAGAATTTTTCAAAAATAAGAAGCTTATGGTCAAAAATGCATAAATACTGTCAGGGCATGAGAGTGAATACTTATTCTGAGTCCCAACCATGCATCACACATATAGTACAGAATGTCACTTAGCACCATGGTATGCCTGATATGGTTCTCTAGACTTTTTCCATGCTTTCGCAGCTGACATTCAAGATTTTTCAGATTGCCGGAGAATGTTTTTTTGTCATTTTACCACTTTTATGTAGTGTTGACCCTCCCTTTTAAATTAAGTCTCAGTCAGGATGTTTATTTTAGCATGATTTGTTAAGCACATTAGTGTACTGAAATATTAATAAATTACAAATTAAAGTGATGAACAAATTTGACATATTTACACAATCAAAATATCAGAATAACCACAATTCAGCTAATAAAGTGCCCTGTTCTTCTTTTGTCACTTCCTATAAATTTTATCAGCAGTTTTTTGTACACCCACCCACTCCAAGAATCATGGAGGATGCCTGATATTAGTTTCTCTGTTGCATTTATTCACATTTAAAAGTGTTAAGACCCATAAAAATGTTTAAGCTTTATATTTCTAAATTTAAATGTTGAATTTTTATGTAAATTTGGTGAAACAAAAAGCTGTAATCTTGAATTAATCATGCAAATTCATCAAACACCTTTGAAATTCCTGAGTAATTCAATGAAAAGAGGATAATTATGTATGTTCAATTGGAATTTCATGGCTAATTTGTGTCTGCAGAGAAAGCCAGTTACATAAATCACAACAATAAATTACATCTGAATTGTTTTCTCCATTTTCTTATCATCAAAGCAAGTTTAATGGAGTGTCAGAGCTGGTCCAGAACCTCCCCAGATGCTGATATCATTTGGACTGCCCTGTGTTACAACACAGCTTTTAGATAAACTTCTGCATAGCAGGTTGTAGACAAGTACCTAGGCTTTATTTGGAACATAAATTGACCAGATGCAGATTTTATTATCAGCCTAATATTTAACAATTTCTGTAAATTCTGTCATTCTTAGGAGGGTAAAATGCAATTTTGTTATGTAATAATTGCATAATGGTCTCAGACTTGTGAATTATTTTTTGTTTGTTGTGAAGAACAGTGCATATACTCTCTCACGGGATACAAAATTGGTTGCCAGGCTTAGTCTATTAAGGATGAAATTCTGCTTCAAAATATGCACAAAAAACTTCTGTCAGAGTGCTCAGTGTGTATTCTTGACTGCTCTGGAGTAAGGGAGATAAATGCATCATATCTCCAGCAATAATGGGAATTAGATCCCCAGACTTCAGGATGTTAATGACAGTTATTTAAGAAATCTCAGGTGCAAAAATGAAAAGAATCTGACAACTTCAAAGGTCCTTCAAGGTATCACACCGGTAATTGACCAATCAAAATGAACTTAGTCAATTGTAGTTCCATACATAATAAAGAAATATTTTTTTTTATTGTGAGAAATTTTTTTAATTTCCCTTATTCTATTTTACCTTTTTGGTATCCGTGCTTAGGATATTTTATGTACTTTGTAAAATATTAAAGGTTTTTGACAGGAACTATTTCTTTCGGGGCATAGGAGGCCACTTCCTGGGGTGCACACAGGATGTTTATAAACACATTGAATACACGTGGTTTTGAGGGTATTCCTTGTTTGCGGATGGAAAAAATCAGAAAATGCCGTGTAGGTACCCTATTTTTTGGTGTCAGCTGATGTGACTGGTAACGTTTAACACTTCCTGCTAAATATCTTTTCATGAATTCGAATTACCTGATTTTTAATGATTTTTTTATTCTATATAGAATTACATAGTGAAAACAATTAGTGTGATACCTTGAAGGTGATTGTGTAAAATCATCTACCCCCATATTAAAGGCAGTTTTAATTTTATGAAGGCGTATTTCAACAAAATATGTCATTTTATGAACTTTCTGTGTGAAAGCACACATTTTTAAATTTAGAAGCAGGGTTGACATTAATTTATACAGATTTCTATGTAAAATACTAATAATATGTCATGTTTCACCCTCAAAATTCCAAATTATGACTTTCAAAGTAGGATTATGCATCTGACATGTAGAAAGAAGTTAGAAAATGTTGTTTTTTTATTTTAGATGACTTTAAACTCTGTGCACCACCTGACCGCAGTCAATTATAGTGTATTCAGACTTTGCCGTGAAAGCACTTTAGGCTGATTTTTTCAAGAAAAGACTAATTCTGGGTTTGCAAATGAGTTTTCAACAAAAGCGACAACTGCGATAAAATGTGAAGAAGTAAAACATGTTTTTAAAAAGTGTTAAATTTTACAGAGACTGGGTTTACTTTCATTTTATTCACCTTAAGTGATTCATTTATTACTGGAGTGGAGGAATAGAAATAATGAAATGAGTTAAATTTGTCTAATATTTGTAATGTACAAACAAAATTTATGAAGAATTTGTCAAAAATAAGAAGCTTATGACCAAAAATGCATAAATACTGTCAGGGCATGAGAGTGAATACTTATTCAGAGTCCCAACCATGCATCACACATATAGTACAGAATGTCACTTAGCACCATGGTATGCCTGTTATGGTTCTCTAGACTTTTTCCATGCTTTCGCAGCTGACATTCAAGATTTTTCAGTTTACCGGAGAATGTTTTTTGTCATTTTACCACTTTTATGTAGGTGTTGACCCTCTCTTTTAAATTAAGTCTCGGTCAGGATGTTTATTTTAGCATGATTTGTTAAGCACAGTAATGTACTGAAATATTAATAAATTACAAATTAAAGTGATGAAGAAATTTGACATATTTACACAATCAAAATATCAGAATAACCATAATTCAGCTAATAAAGTGCCCTGTTCTTCTTTTGTCACTTCCTATACATTTTTTCAGCAGTTTTTGTACACCCACCCACCTCCAAGAATCATGGAGGATGGCCTGATATTAGTTTCTTTGTTGCATTTATTCACATTTAAAAGTGTTAAGACCCATAAAAATGTTTAAGATTTATATTTTTAAATTTAAATGTTGAATTTTTATGTAAATTTGGTGAAACAAAAAGCTGTAATCTTGAATTAATCATGCAAATTCATCAAACACCTTTGAAATTCCTGAGTAATTCAATGAAAAGAGGATAATTATGTATGTTCAATTGGAATTTCATGGCTAATTTGTGTCTGCAGAGAAAGCCAGTTACATAAATCACAACAATAAATTACATCTGAATTGTTTTCTCCATTTTCTTATCATCAAAGCAAGTTTAATGGAGTGTCAGAGCTGTCCAGAACCTCCCCAGATGCTGATATCATTTGGACTGCCCTGTGTTACAACACAGCTTTTAGATAAACTTCTGCATAGCAGGTTGTAGACAAGTACCTAGGCTTTATTTGGAACATAAATTGACCAGATGCAGATTTTATTATCAGCCTAATATTTAACAATTTCTGTAAATTCTGTCATTCTTAGGAGGGTAAAATGCAATTTTGTTATGTAATAATTGCATAATGGTCTCAGACTTGTGAATTATTTTTTGGTTTGTTGTGAAGAACAGTGCATATACTCTCCACGGATACAAAATTGGTTGCCAGGCTTAGTCTATTAAGGATGAAATTCTGCTTCAAAATATGCACAAAAAAACTTCTGTCAGAGTGCTCAGTGTGTATTCTTGACTGCTCTGGAGTAAGGGAGATAAATGCATCATATCTCCAGCAATAATGGGAATTAGATCCCCAGACTTCAGGATGTAAGTGACAGTTATTTAAGAAATCTCAGGTGCAAAAATGAAAAAAATCTGACAACTTCAAAGGTCCTTCAAGGTATCACACCGGTAATTGACCAATCAAAATGAACTTAGTCAATTGTAGTTCCATACATAATAAAGAAATATTTTTTTTATTGTGAGAAATTTTATATTTTCCCTTATTCTATTTTTACATTTTTGGTATCTGTGCTTAGGATATTTTATGTACTTTGTAAAATATTAAAGGTTTTTGACAGGAACTATTTCTTTCAGGGCATAGGAGGCCACTTCCTGGGGTGCACACAGGATGTTTATAAACACATTGAATACACGTGGTTTTGAGGGTATTCCTGTTTGCGGATGGAAAAAATCAGAAAATGCCGTGTAGGTACCCTATTTTTTGGTGTCAGCTGATGTGACTGGTAACGTTTAACACTTCCTGCTAAATATTTTTTCATGAATTCGAATACCTGATTTTTAATGATTTTTTATTCTATATAGAATTACATAGTGAAAACAATTACCGGTGTGATACCTTGAAGGTGATTGTGTAAAATCATCTACCCCCATATTAAAGGCAGTTTTAATTTTATGAAGGCGTATTTCAACAAAATATGTCATTTTATGAACTTTCTGTGTGAAAGCACACATTTTTAAATTTAGAAGCAGGGTTGACATTAATTTATACAGATTTCTATGTAAAATACTAATAATATGTCATGTTTCACCCTCAAAATTCCAAATTATGACTTTCAAAGTAGGATTATGCATCTGACATGTAGAAAGAAGTTAGAAAATGTTGTTTTTTTATTTTAGATGACTTTAAACTCTGTGCACCACCTGACCGCAGTCAATTATAGTGTATTCAGACTTTGCCGTGAAAGCACTTTAGGCTGATTTTTTCAAGAAAAGACTAATTCTGGGTTTGCAAATGAGTTTTCAACAAAAGCGACAACTGCGATAAAATGTGAAGAAGTAAAACATGTTTTTAAAAAGTGTTAAATTTTACAGAGACTGGGTTTACTTTCATTTTATTCACCTTAAGTGATTCATTTATTACTGGAGTGGAGGAATAGAAATAATGAAATGAGTTAAATTTGTCTAATATTTGTAATGTACAAACAAAATTTATGAAGAATTTGTCAAAAATAAGAAGCTTATGACCAAAAATGCATAAATACTGTCAGGGCATGAGAGTGAATACTTATTCAGAGTCCCAACCATGCATCACACATATAGTACAGAATGTCACTTAGCACCATGGTATGCCTGTTATGGTTCTCTAGACTTTTTCCATGCTTTCGCAGCTGACATTCAAGATTTTTCAGTTTACCGGAGAATGTTTTTTGTCATTTTACCACTTTTATGTAGGTGTTGACCCTCTCTTTTAAATTAAGTCTCGGTCAGGATGTTTATTTTAGCATGATTTGTTAAGCACAGTAATGTACTGAAATATTAATAAATTACAAATTAAAGTGATGAAGAAATTTGACATATTTACACAATCAAAATATCAGAATAACCATAATTCAGCTAATAAAGTGCCCTGTTCTTCTTTTGTCACTTCCTATACATTTTTTCAGCAGTTTTTGTACACCCACCCACCTCCAAGAATCATGGAGGATGGCCTGATATTAGTTTCTTTGTTGCATTTATTCACATTTAAAAGTGTTAAGACCCATAAAAATGTTTAAGATTTATATTTTTAAATTTAAATGTTGAATTTTTATGTAAATTTGGTGAAACAAAAAGCTGTAATCTTGAATTAATCATGCAAATTCATCAAACACCTTTGAAATTCCTGAGTAATTCAATGAAAAGAGGATAATTATGTATGTTCAATTGGAATTTCATGGCTAATTTGTGTCTGCAGAGAAAGCCAGTTACATAAATCACAACAATAAATTACATCTGAATTGTTTTCTCCATTTTCTTATCATCAAAGCAAGTTTAATGGAGTGTCAGAGCTGTCCAGAACCTCCCCAGATGCTGATATCATTTGGACTGCCCTGTGTTACAACACAGCTTTTAGATAAACTTCTGCATAGCAGGTTGTAGACAAGTACCTAGGCTTTATTTGGAACATAAATTGACCAGATGCAGATTTTATTATCAGCCTAATATTTAACAATTTCTGTAAATTCTGTCATTCTTAGGAGGGTAAAATGCAATTTTGTTATGTAATAATTGCATAATGGTCTCAGACTTGTGAATTATTTTTTGGTTTGTTGTGAAGAACAGTGCATATACTCTCCACGGATACAAAATTGGTTGCCAGGCTTAGTCTATTAAGGATGAAATTCTGCTTCAAAATATGCACAAAAAAACTTCTGTCAGAGTGCTCAGTGTGTATTCTTGACTGCTCTGGAGTAAGGGAGATAAATGCATCATATCTCCAGCAATAATGGGAATTAGATCCCCAGACTTCAGGATGTAAGTGACAGTTATTTAAGAAATCTCAGGTGCAAAAATGAAAAAAATCTGACAACTTCAAAGGTCCTTCAAGGTATCACACCGGTAATTGACCAATCAAAATGAACTTAGTCAATTGTAGTTCCATACATAATAAAGAAATATTTTTTTTATTGTGAGAAATTTTATATTTTCCCTTATTCTATTTTTACATTTTTGGTATCTGTGCTTAGGATATTTTATGTACTTTGTAAAATATTAAAGGTTTTTGACAGGAACTATTTCTTTCAGGGCATAGGAGGCCACTTCCTGGGGTGCACACAGGATGTTTATAAACACATTGAATACACGTGGTTTTGAGGGTATTCCTGTTTGCGGATGGAAAAAATCAGAAAATGCCGTGTAGGTACCCTATTTTTTGGTGTCAGCTGATGTGACTGGTAACGTTTAACACTTCCTGCTAAATATTTTTTCATGAATTCGAATACCTGATTTTTAATG